ACTTGACCGACCTCCTCCACTCTTCCTACCACTCCATCCCCCACAGCTATCTCCTCCTGTACCACCATCCCCTCCCTCCTAGATTGTAAGCTCGAAAGAGCAGGGCCCTCGATCCCCTCATGTTTTGCATTGTATTGGTATTGTTCTGTCACATGTTCTGTCCCCCTTTCTAATGTACAGCGCTGAGCGAACTATTGGTGCTTTATAAATACTGTATAATAATAATAATAATAATAAAATTTGTGCCCTCCAGGAGTTCCTTCTGGCAGGGCCCTGTACCACGATTTCAGGTACTATACCAAAAGGAGGAAGACCCCCTGTAAACAGGCAACCCCTTCCATTCATCCAACCATAGGAGACATCTGGTTACCTGGATCTGTTTTAAATCATCTCTGAGCAAGTCTTGAATACATTTCTGAGGGAGGATTGACCCATTCTGACCAGACCTTTTCTTCCTGATCGAGGATCCTGGAGTTATGATACACACCACTTACACTTATTTACTTTCTGATGAGTTTGCATTTCTGCTATTCTTCACGGATCACCACTATTGATTGTTACCAGTCACCTGGCAGGTTTTTTTTATGAAAACAGACTTTTAATATCAGACTTTTTATTAGTTTTATTTTTGTTTTATTCAAGTGCTGCACTATTAATTATTCTGCTGTAAGAATATAATTCATAGCCTTGAGCAGCGGCAGGAGCTCTTAAACCGTTATAAATAATGCATACTGTATATAGTAAAAAAAAACATCAGTCTAAAACTGTATAAAATTAAGAAAAAATTGAGCCAAAACTGTTATAGAATGTCCATTTAATTCATCTTCTAAAGGACATACATCCAAGTTAATAAATGGCTTTATTCATTAATCACATGCGTTCTATTCTGTGGCCAAACTACTTCTGGTACAGATGAAGCCTATTTTCCTCTGGAAAGCAATTTCAATGTCTTTGTTTCTCATGCTGTATATTATGGGATTCATCATGGGAGTTAATACTGTATATAACATGGACACCATGGAGTCCACCTCAGATGGGTAGAGACCTGGTGGACGAAGGTACATAAACATAAGTGGCAAGAAATATATACTGACAACAGTAAAGTGAGAGGCGCAGGTAGAAAAGGTTTTCTTCCGGCCTCCTTTGGAACTGATCCTGAGGATTGTTAAAATAATCTTAGTGTAAGATATAACAATTACAGATAAGGTTACCAAATAGACAACGATAGCACTGAAAGACCCAACTGTTACATTGAGGGATAGATCGGCACAAGCCAAACTGAGCAGCGGAGGATCATCACAATAGTAATGGTAGATTATGTTGGGGCCACAGTAAGGTAAATTAAAGGCAAGAAGGGTGAGTGCGACTGGAGCAGCAAAGCCTCCACACCAGGCTGCCGTTGACAGTATTATGTAAAGTTGTCTTGTCATGATGGTTTGGTAGTGTAAGGGTGAGCATATAGCTATGTAGCGATCGTAGGCCATTACGGCCAGGAGATAACACTCTGTTGCTCCCAAAGACAGAAAAATATACATCTGTACAAAGCAGGCAGTGAAGGAAATAGTATTCAGGTTCATCAGGGACTTGGCCAACATCTGCGGGATGGTTACTGAAGTGTAAGTCATGTCTATAAAGGACAAATTGCCGACAAAGAAATACATTGGGGTATGGAGATGCCGGTCAAAGATGACTAAAAAGAAGATAATGCCATTGCTAGAGAGGATGAAAAGGTAGATACAAAGAAATACACAAGAAAGTAAATTGTTGAAATTCTGGAGGCTCAGGAATCCGAAAAGGATGAATTCTGTCACATGGGTACAAGTTGTATTGGAAGAAACAGATTTCAAGGAATCTTCATTGATCTAGATCATATAAATAAATACAATTAATTCATTATATTATTTTATTGCTCAAATAGCATCAGCGCTATAACCCAGTAACAAACACGTTTTGGGCCAAAGCATCCTCCTTCATTAGGGCTTCAACATTGGTTGCCAGAGTTACAGTATGGACAGTGCTAAATCCTCCTGGATGGGTATCTTAATCTAAAATATAGATGTGTGGGCTCAGTGGCTGGGTACCAGCAGATGCAGTAGGCGCCTCTTAGTGAAAACTAACAAATGATACATAATATCTAATTCAGGGATCAATAAATGGCGGACCGTGGTCTGGACCCAGACCAAGTGATAGTCCTGTCTGGGCCACTTAGCAGCTGGGTGTCGTCCCCCGAATGGCCACTGTTTTCATCCTTACAGTAGGGCAGGGGGTGGGAGGTGCTGCAGATCTGCACAGAGAGGGAGAATCTTTTCAAACTAACAAGCGGTAATCACCGGATTGTCCTCCGTCCAGATCTGCAGCCTCTCGCCCCCTGCCCTGCTGTGAGGATGATAGGTGGGAGACCCAGGAGAGGACATCCCAAGCAGATAACTGCCTCTGCCCTGCTGAAGGTAGAACTCTGAGGTTTGGGAGGCTTGCATCGAAGGGGCACTATAATACAGTTATGTTCAAAATAATAGCAGTCAGACATCACTAACCGGATCAATCACTGTTTTTGGTAGAAATTATATTTCTACATGGCAAATAATTTACTAGCAGGTGTAGTAGAGTAATAGAAATCCAACAGACCCAACAGTCATGACATGCATGCTGCTGATTCTGTGTAATTGAATCACTAATTGAAAGGGGCATGTTCAAAATAATAGCAGTGTGGAGTTCTATTAGTGAGGTCATTCATTCTTTGAAAAACAGGTGGCAATTATTGCCCTTATTTAAGGAAGGAAGGCAGCAAATGTTGTACATGCTGGTTACACTGCATTTCTCTCTGAAATTATGAGGAAAATGGGTTGTTCCAGACATTGATCAGAAGAACAGCATACCTTGATTAAAAAGTTGATTGGAGAGGGGAAAACATATAAAGAAGTGCAGAAAATGATCGGCTGCTCAGCTAAAATGATTGCAAATGTTTTAAAATGACAACCAAAACCTGAAAGACGTGGAAGAAAGCGAAAAAAAAAAAACTACCATTGAATGGATAGAAGAATAGCCAAAATGGCGCGGACTCAGCCAACAATCAGTTCCAGGAAGATGAAAGAAGGTGTAAAGTTCCCTGTGAGGACTGTTACAATTAGAAGACGCCTATGTGAAGCCAAGCTATCTGCAAGAAGCCCCCGCAAAGTCCCACTGTTGGAAAAAAGACGTGCTGAAGAGGTTACAATTTTCAAAGAGCACAATGACTGGCCTAAAGAGAAATGGCGCAACATTTTGTGGACTGATGAAAGTAAGATTGTTCTTTTTGGGTCTAGTAGCCGGAGACAGTTTGTCAGACGACCCCCAAACACTGAATTCAAGCCACAGTACACTGTGAAGACAGTGAAGCATGGTGGTGCAAGCATCATGATATGGGGATGTTTCTCACACTACGGTGTTGGACCCTATTTATCGCATACCAGGGATCATGGAACAGTTTGAATACATCAGAATACTTGAAGAGGTCATGCTGCCTTATGCTGAAGAGGAAATGCCCTTGAAATGGGTGTTCCAACAAGACAACGACCCCAAACACACCAGTAAACGTGCAACATCTTGGTTCCAGATCAACAAGATTGACGTTATGGAGTGGCCAGCCCAATCCCCGGATCTTAATCCAATAGAAAACTTGTGGGGTGACATCAAAAATGCAGTTTCTGAGGCAAAACCAAGAAATAGAGAAGAACTGTGGAATGTGGTCCAATCATCCTGGGCTGGAATACCTGATCACAGGGGCCAGAAGTTGGGTGACTCCATGCAACACAGATGTACAGCAGTTCTCAGAAACAGTGCGACTACAACCAAATATTCATGAAGTCATTCAAAGGAAAGCAAAATCTTCAAACATTTTTCAGTTTATATAGTGAATGTTTGAGTTTGTAAAGAAGAATACAAACACTGCGATTTTTTTAACAGTCTAATATTCACTTTTCTTCAATTTTTTTAGAGGAACAACACAAATTTGATGTATTTTTCTTCATGCTTTGATTTGGAATAGAATGTGTCGTGTTCCCAATGCATTTGTGTGGATGGAAATAAAAGCTATTAGAAGGAGTTTCAGCTTTATTCACTTTTTTCAACACACTGCTATTATTTTGAATACAATTGTATAAATGGGCACTCTGATGTGAGAGGCACTGTGTTATAAAGGGGTGCTGTGTTATAAAGGGGTGCTGTGTTATAAAGGGTACGGCAAAAAGTAATGAGGCACTGTGATGTGAAGGAGAATACAATGTAAAAGGTAAACTGTGATATGAAGGGGCCCTGTATGTAGATGTAATGTAGGGGGGGCTGACTCCAATGTAAAGGGGCCCTGTGATATGTAGGGGAGCTGAGAGGACTGTGTAGTACTACTGTAAAGGGGGTGAGGCTGTGATATGAAGGGGGTCTGTGATGTAAAAGTAATGGGAGATTGTGGTCACTGATGTAAAGAAGGGACTGTGATGTTAACGAGGGTTGTGATGTAAAGGAGGCTATGAGGGGAAGGATAGGGTAACCACTAACCTACAGAGCACTTATACCCCCTTCCTGCCCAGGCCAATTTTCAGCTTTCAACGCTGTCACACTTTGAATGACAATTGCGCGGGTCATGCATCACTGTACCCATATGAAATTTTTATCATTTTTTTTTGTGACAGATAGAGCTTTATTTTTGTGGTATTTAATCACCTCTGGGTTTTTTTTTTTTTTTTCTTAAACAAACCAAAAACCACTGAAAATGTTGAAAAAAAAAAAAAAAAGTTTTTTTCTTAGTTTTTGTTATAAAATTTTGTAAATAAGTTTTTCTCCTTCACTGATGTGCGCTAATGAGGCTGCACTGATGGACACTGATAGACTGCACTGATGAGGAGGAACTGGTAGGTGCCACTGACGGGCATTGACAGGCATCACTAATGGGCACTGAAAGGCAGCACTCATATATGGCACTGATAGGTGGCACTGATAGGTGGCACTGACAGGCACGGTTAGGCAGTACTGATGCCCACTGATAGGCTGCACTGTCTTAGCACTGTTAGGCGGCACTGACTGTCACTGATAGGTGACACTGAAAGGCAGCTCAGATGGGCATTGATATTGGCATTGATGTGCACTGGTAGGCAATGAAATGTGGCACTTATGTGGCACTGATGGGCACTGTCAGTTGGCATGGATGAGCACTGACAGCTGGCACTGATGGACACTGATAAGTGGCACTGTTGGAGCTACACAGATCATCAGGGCACACTGATGATCAGTGTACATGTCCCCTCTGAGGAATGCCGATTACCGGCTCTCCTCTCCTCTCGAGCTGTCAGCGTGAGGAGAGAAATGCCAATAACCGACATTTCCTGTTTATATGTGATCAGCTGTAATTGGACACAGTTGATCACATGACCGAGCCGACACCTTCGACTCTTTCCGTTGATCGGTGATCCTCTGTGTCCGAGGAACACAGCTCACCACCGATCGCCGCGCTGCGTGCTCCCTGAGCCGCACATGTGTGGTTAGAATGGGAGGACGTCATATTACGTCCTCCCAGAATGAGAGAAATGCCTTGCACCCGTCATTGGACTAAGGTGGTGGAGGTGGTTAAAAGACACTGAGCTGTGATGTACAGGGGGACTGTGATGTACAGGGGGACCACATATAAAATAGTGAAGCGCTAAACAATACCAAAAAAAATAAATAAATAAATAAATAAACCCTATATATACCCATCATAAAAACCATCTAAACCTATAAATACCATACAGTGATAAAAAATATAATATGTCTATTGGTGAGATAACTAAAATAAATAAATATCTCATACATAAACTGACCATAAAATACCTCATAATATATAGATATGTGATAAAAAAAAAAGATAACAATTGATATTCCCTTAATTAATCCTCAAATAAATCAGTGATATGAAATCAATATTCATAATTATACTAATTCATAAATAATAAAGAATGAAAGTGTAACTATCCGTGATGAATTGTGACAAACCTATGAATTGAAATAAATAAACTGTGATTCTTCATCATCAAATAAATACGTGATTCATAAATTCTGTGATAAACTATATATCAGAATAAAAATATTATATATTAAATCCACTTAATTATGTGATAAATACATAAAAACACTGTGTCTAAAATAAACACAAAAGTCCATGCATATAATGTGAAAACACTCAGTGATCTTCACTTCCAGTGCACAAAAGGAATCCCCCAATGGCAGCAACGCCTGCCCACCTCCCCACCTCGACCCACACAGGGCCACAAGGCAAAAACTCTCCTCAAAGGCAATCCTCTACCCCAGGCAGCTCAGCAAGGGACCACAGGACCTCCACTCCACCTCCTCTCAAACGTCATATAGGACACAAACAGAGCTTCCCATAGTATAATACCGTTTATTAAAAACACTCAGTGTAACATACTGTTTCCACTCACATGTATTCCTTGTTTACAAAGCGCTTTCCACCTCCTTCCATGGGTGTATTCACATACAGGGAGGGAAACCAATATGGCTGCTACGTCCGGACATGCGTCCCCACGTGACCGGAAGTGATGCATCTCTGAACCGGGAATGACGGTCTGACGTGTTGCGTCACATGCGTCGTGACTTCATCAGGGTGTACAGGGGGAGCTGTGATGTACAGGGGGAGCTGTGATGTACAGGGGGAGCTGTGATGTAGCTGTGATGTGTTTTAGCGGAAACATGAGACCTCTGCCGGAAGAAAATGTTACTGACTGGTCCTACGTGAATTTTAATTCAAGACCTTTGATCTAATGGCTCAAACAATAGCCTTTCCAGCATTAGTATATGTAGCACTACCTTAGGAGTCGCTAGAGATTTGGGTCCCCCTGTAGTCTTGCACAGCCAGGCAACACGCAGTTTTCCACAGACTTGCATTCAGAGACATAAACAGTCCTTGAGCTTGGCTTTTTATGTCTTATTAAGGGGTGTTGAACTTGGATGGGGTAAGGGGTGTACGAGATGCCCAGTGGAACTGCAACTGAGGACAAACTCCTTAGGAACTATGTACAAGTCTTTACACAGTAGAACGTCTGCTTGGAGAGCACTCTAGCCTCTCCAGGTGTACCTCCGCAGACCCCAGATAATCCTCTTCTTATACAGTTGCCTGAGGGAATCCCTGGGCAAGGAATCCAGTGCCTGCCACTTTAAATGAAACAGTCCCAGGTAAGGAGCTATTTGGGTTTCCCACCAGAGTGCTCTTTTTCCCTTGTTTGGCCTAGGGGGTGTAGGACTACTCACTCAGTCTCAGTCCTGCGTGCAGATTTAGGTAGGTGGCTGCCTTCAGGCCTTCTACTGGGCTAGCTCCTTTTCTGGCTCTACAGGTGGTCCTTGCTCTGGGGGATGATGATACTGAGAGATCCTCCTTTCCAGCACCCTGCCTGTAGGTAGGCCCTTTCCCACTGGGCCCCCTCCCAGGGTCCTACATCTCAGCCACTTTAAGGGCTTTCCTGACCCCATGCCAAGCCACCTGCTTGATGATTGGTCAGGATCCCCTGAGAGTGCAGACCAGCTCATCCTCACCTCCCCCCACCCACTGCTTCTAGAATCTTTTTACTATTAACCACTAGGGGACTGCCTGCAGTACATATACTGCTACAAGGGGCCCCTTGTCAGGGAGCGAGGAGCCAGACACACAAGGAGTTGCAATTAAAGGTAGGTTTATTGTACAAAAACAAGACAGAGAGTCTATACAAGTCCAACAGCAACATCGGATGACTTGATAGGACAGTTGTGAGATGGGGAAACAGCTTTCATTGTTTGAACACTGATTGAAGTAAATTAAAAACGTTCTGACTGACATTCTGCAGTTAAGCCACAAGATGTCACTGTTTCTAACACAGCCTCAGACTGCATAGCTATTTCTATATTCAATAAGGGGTGGGGTTTTCTCAAGTAGAGTGAACAGGAAGAGAAAAGGAGAAGCCATACTGGAGAGAGAGAGAGAAGAAGGCTGAGTGATGGGATAATCCGCTGCCCTCCGTAATCAGAAATCCCACTAGTAAAGCTGATGGTGTTCAAGACACTAATTCTGTTCAAAGAGGGGAAGATTTGCTGCCAGGAAGCTGATGAGGACAGAGGAGCAAAGCAACATACATTGCTGATAATATTGCATGCTCAGTGGAGGGACATTGTTCTGTTCAGAGTCACCAGCGGATGCAAAGCAGACCCGGGTCGGTAAGATCATGCACGCACCTCATTTCAGTGTTGGCGCCTATAAGACTGAGACAGGCCTATAGTTAGATAGTTAGGGTCTCTGTTTGTGTCAGGCCACAAGTGTTATTACTGATCACTGGAAGGACTCCACAACTTAAAGTGACATTTCACATTGGAGAACTAATAAAATCCTACAGACTGAAGCCAGACTGGCATTTTGCTCAGAAGGAATACTCAGGCACGTGCTACAGGACCAGTTATGGGAGGGAGAATACTGTAGATTTGTGTAAGATTGTAAGCTGTTGTGCTGCACCGCAGGCTAGCCCATACCATACACCCATACACGGATTCTTGATCTTTTAGGGTAATAACAGGTAAGGTGTGGCAGCTTAGTAGGTAAATTACTAAAATTTCTACCTTCATCCATCAGAAGGCGCCATGCTGTGCAGCACAAGGGTCTCAGCCTTTGGGCTGATTGTATGTAAATTTATTGTATATTCCAGCATTTGTGGTTTTGTTTATTTGCCACATCTAAGTAAAATTCTGTTGTGGCAAAAGCTGGTGTTGGGGTTGCTTTCCTCGTTTGTGACTTCACTGTATCCTGGGGAGCCCACCCCGGTACACGGCTTACACAGTAGCCAGGAAGGATGGTCGCCAGGGTCAGAAGCCAGGAAGGAGTGTCGCCAGAGCCAGGGTCAGAAGCCAGGAAGGATGGTTGCCAGAGCCGGGGTCAGAAGCCAGGAAGGATGGTCGCCAGAGCCGGGGTAAGAAGCCAGGAAGGATGGCCCAGAGCCGGGGTCAGAAGCCAGGAAGGATGGTCGCCAGAGCCATGGTCAGAAGCCAGGAAGGATGGTCGCCAGAGCCATGGTCAGAAGCCAGGAAGGATGGTCGCCAGCCGCCGGGGTCAGAAGCCAGGAAGGATGGTCGTCAGAGCCGGGGTCAGAAGCCAGGAAGGATGGTCGCCAGAGCCGGGGTCAGAAGCCAGGAAGGATGGTCACCAGAGTCGGGGTCAGAAACCAGGAAGGATGGTCGCCAGAGTCGGGGTCAGAAGCCAGGAAAGATGGTCACCAGAGCCGGGGGTCAGAAGCCAGGAAGGAGTCTTGCCAAAGCCGAGTCGGTATCCAGGAGAGCAATGAGAAACAAAACAGGCGCTTGCTGCTGTGCAACAGACAGGACACGAATGCAATGGACAGCTACAAACAGCAGACTTATATGGGATAAGCCACCACCTCCTGAAGGAGGAGCCGCAGAGGGCTGAAAGCATAAAGGATCCCAAAATGCTTTGCAGACACCTAAGATGGATGCCAGCACTTGGAGCAGCACAAGCACTGAGGAAAGGTAGGACCTTGACACCCCTGTGCACAGGATCATGTATATAAACGTGATCCTGCATTTTGGGGTAGGGGACGCACATCCTGCCCTACCCACAGCATCGATCACGGGTGTCAATCACTGGGCCCCGGCCGATGATTACCTGCCGGAGCCTGGACATTGCTAGCAAACACTGACAGGGAGGAAGGCTGCATTGTTTTCAATGGAGCTCTCCTCCCTGTCAGTTTTCAGCACACTGTTCCGGGATCGCTGAGCACAGCCTTCCGGAACAGTGTGTAACAGAGAAGTACCCCCCCTTAGTAAAACATTCCCCTAACACAGTTAACCCTTTCATTGCCTCCCAATGTTAATCCCTTCCTCCCAGTGCCATTAGTACAGTGTCAGTAGGGTTTTTTTTTGCACTGATCACTGTATTGGTGTCACTAGGGATGTCAGTGACCCCAAGTCAGTCCCCCCAGTGTCAGAATGTCCGTCGCAGTCCTTCCATAAGTCGCTGATCGCTGCCATAAATCGCTGATTGCTGCAATAAGTCGCAATTATTAGTATACAAAAAAAATCCAGTATCTATACCGCCATTTGTAAAACACTATAACTTTCACGTATACCAATAAATTTACATGTATTGGGATTTTTTTTAGCATGGCGCAGAATACATTTTGGACAAAATTTATGCTGAAATTTGATTTTTACATTTTTTTACTGGACATGTTTCATAGCAAAAAGTCCAAAATGTTTTTTTTCTAAATTTTTTTTTTTATAGCGCAAAATATTTAAAAACCACACAGGCGATCAAATACCACCTAAAGAAAGCCCAATTCATGGGGAAAAAAGGATGTAAATTTCATGTGGGTGCAGTGTTGCATGACCACACAATTGTCAGTTAAAGTGATGCAGCGCCATAACACAATACAA